TGATTTATTAGGTAAATTCCTACATATACGAAATTTTTACAAAATAATAATTATATCACATCTGACGCAAATTATTGAATGTTGTATAGAGAGGTAAGCCAAGGGGATTAGAAAGTTTGTAGCATTTTCTATTTAAGCTGCCTATTCTAAGCTACTTCTTTAGAGTGATCGACTATAAGTCGATGGGAAACTTTCCTCGGCCGATTAAATGCGCGTGCGTATCGAAATGATAGAATCCGTAAAATTGAACAAGAATAAGACGTTAAACGATTCAACGATGGATCAACGGTGGCACGATGGTATCGTCCGTAACGAACCATCCTGGGTTCGAAATTCTAGATTCGTTACGAGTCTTTTACGTTACGACAGTGACATCTCGAGCTCTCTTCTTAATAGTAGCGAGCATTGAGAACAGATAGAACGTGGTCGAACAAAATCATAGAAGAAAGGGAAGAAGGAGAAAAATGAGCGATGATTTTCTTTAATATTAATGCAGAGTTGGCGTTGGCGGAAGTGAGAAGGCAGGTGCGTTGAAGAAAAGCAGAAAGAAGATTTATGCCGTTACATGGCTCGTTGTTACGGTGAATCCTTGCCCTATTTCCTCTCTCATCCTAAATTCGATCAGTTCCAGATATTATTTATCATAATGTCAGACTACCATGACTGAATGGATTACACCGTTAGTAATCGCGTTGCCTTCTAGTCGAGACGTTCTCGCGCGATTCTAAAGACTAACAACGAGAGAGCATGAAAGTGTCACAAATTCGTTTAACAAGGACAGCTGAGAAGATCAATTTGTCGAGTAGACAGGAAGAGATATGGCTACGTGTTGCAACATAGCATTTGCTAATTATTTAGTATTTCTTTAACGAAACTATTCATTTTCAAAAATTTTCCATTATTATTGAGACACAAAAAATTGCACATTTATTTTCTTACAGTTTTCTTTGCTTAAAGAAAATAAATTCTATCATTCTGTTATTGATGTAATCTTTGCTATTGGTGTTTCACAGTATTTATTTGTAATATATGTGCATTTTTTTATCTCTTTGAGAAAAGAAAACTGAGAAAAAAAAAAGAATGAAGGGATAGAAAAAATTTGCTGCAGAATAAAATAGATTTGTTATTCTAAATTCTTTGGACTGAAATGCCATTTTAAAGAGTGAAAATCGATTTAGTCCTGAAAAAAAGCTTAATTTTCAATCTTTAAAAGTGAAATTTCATTTTTCAGAGTTTCATTCTAAAAATTTCACAGTTCATTCTAAAAATTTTAGAGAGTTTCTGTTTTTTCCTTTCCTATTTCTCTTTTTTCCGTTTTTTTAGAATACGAAGCCATAGTGTTCGTTGAATCATGTCTTAAGAACGTGGATTAATCATTTGCAACGAACGCCCTCGATAAACTCATTGCCTCGTCATGGATTTTGTGATTCGTGGAAACCAACTGTGGAATCCGTTCGATTTTTCTTGGTTTCTACAGGATTTATGATTTTCAAACAATCGGACTGTCTCACTCGTAGATAAGCAAGTCGCGGTCTTGTTTCTTGAAGGCACGGAAATATACTGTTATCGGCATGCGCGAGGTCATAGAAGAACGAAACGATGGAAGAATGTATGAGAAGTGAGAGAAAGAATGAAAGACACAGTACGAGGAAAGTTTAGATGAAGGATAAAAAGTGCGACTCGATAATCTCCCGGTACAGCAATTGTTTGCCGTCAACGAAGCGAGTACATCATTCTCGCTTGTTCCGCGTACGATAAATAGTTCGACGGCGGTTTTATCGACTCGTTCAAATAGCAAGTTGGAGGTGCAGTCAGAGTGTACCCGCAGGGTAAACACGCGCGCACACATCAAGTTCCTTAGGTCGTACTCGCGTACTACTTTGGAATCTGTCTCTTTAACCCGGCAGTTGGAACAGATTTAAAAGATAAGTTTTATTATGAAACAGATTCGAAATATTTTGAGTCCAAACCCTTTCATGTAGTCTTGCGAAAATTTGAGGAAAATAAAATAGATAGGATATTTTTTTTTTAGCTATGTCAATTATATCGCTATATTTTCAATTGCAATGATATTTTTTATTAATGTTTTATTAAAAAGGAATTAATTTATTATCTAAATTCTTATATTAAATTCTTATTTAAAATGATTTAAGTCAACGAATATAAATGATAACAATCCTATTATCAACACAAACAACAAAATCCTATTAAATTATTGTAAGAAATCGTTACATGCAAGACTGTAATGATTTCAAATATTTTAGAGTGATTCTCACTCTTAAAGTTGAAAATTGAACTGCTCTTTTTCAAAATTGATTGAATTTTTACTCCTTAAAATGAGATTTTACTTCAAAGAGTTTACAAAGTATATACTTATATAAAAAATATTCTAGATCTTTCAAATCAAATTTACAGACTACTTGATAATTCTAGTTTGAAAAAATTAGTATCAATATTAGGGTATAAGTTTTATTATAAAATAGTTTGTCGGACGAACAGTTGGCCTTTCGATGTAGATCCTCGATGAAGCATATAGAGCAAAAAGCCGCGATCTCCGCGACTACATCGTTTTCGAGATTGTCCTAAGCGGCATCGTCGCGCATCTTTACGAGGGACATTTGCGTCTCGGCTAAAATTCCACAGAGATAAAATCGTTAGGAATTATTGCTACTGTCGCGACCCGAGTATCTGTCAGGAGACAGAACGAGTTATGGTGTAACCACCTACACGTGGAATCTAAAACGACGTACTGGCGATGGTGGTCCCCGACGACGATATCGGCGACGTGATGATTTATGTAGATGTGTCGTAATACAGCCATTAGACGTAAGATGGTGGTCCATGATGTCAAGTGATAGGCTGGATGTAAAATCGCTTACAATGATTCATTACAAATGTTATAAAGAACAGAAAGATGGATTTATTACTTGCGCTGAGACAGAGATTGCCATTTCAGCAACTTAAGATGTCAATGTAAAGAAAAGTGCGGGTTTAAAGGAGTGTTTGGCTTTAAAAACGGCTTTCACTCTTAATAGACATACAGAAAATTAAATTGCTCATTCAAGAACAATTGCGATTTATATAAACAAGAATAATATTAACATTTGTCACTGTGTATTATTTTTAAAAGTTTCAATAATAATTTAATATGTTTAGACATTATATTCAAAATATTTCAAAATTTATATCATATATCTAAAAAAAATATATTAAACAACAAATATATTAAAGATAAAATTTAAAAAAAATATTTTTTAAAATTTTATCTTTAATATATTTGTGAACAGTGTTTCTTGATATACAGTGACGAAGTATCTCCGACGGCCTTACGAATGATCGTGGCGACAACTTGGCTAGGCTCGAAAATAAGAAAGATAAAGGGTAGCGAAGAACAGGCAGAACAGTCCTGAGGAACTCAAAGATCGCGGAATAACATGGAGCACCATATAGACCCGCGGGGTCGAGTGTGGGCTTGCAGGATGGAAGCAAACAAGATGTAAAAATCACGCGAGGCCCATTGGGTCGCGGCTCACGTTTTCGCAAGAAATCGTGGCGTGTCGTCGACACATGTAGCTCATCATAGGCCGGGATTTATGATCGTAACAAAAAGCGCCTGACGTCGCCAATACGTGTCCTGCACGCACCGGACAGATTTGATTGAATTTGTCTTATAAATGGATTATATCGATATTACGATTTATAGCGAAGATATTCGGAACGTGTCACAACCTCATATAGTCTAAATTTATAATAAAGATTACAAATGTGTATCCGTCTTGAGAGAAAGATTGAAAATATTTGCACAATTAAGAATGTGCGAATTTATTAATTTGTTGTCAAAAAGGATGGCTCTGATTTTAATGTTGTGTAACGTGTGGCTTTCAGGAATAACGTAATTAATTGGTAAAATGAGTTTGAAATTTGTTACGGATTTCCGCTCTGTATCATAAAAGTTCTTTGTGTCTCTTCCTTTTCTCGCGCTTTACAATTTGCCTTCTGTTGAA